GCAGCACAGACACTCATTTCTCACCGTCCTGGAAGCTGACAAGTTCACGGCGAAGGTGCTGGCAGATGCAGTTCCTGGTGGAACCTCTTCCTGGCTTGCCCACCTTCTCTCTATGTCCTCACATGGAGGAGAGACAGCTCTGGTGTTTCTTGTAAGACCACAGATCCCATCATGACCACCCCACACCCTCGCCACCACCTCATGACCTCCTCTGAGCCTAATGACCTCCCAGAGGCCCAGCTCCAAACACCATCACATTGGGGGTTAGGGCTTCAACGTGAATGCGGGGGGTGGGGGCGAGGGGGACACAAGCATTCAGTGCAAGACAGAGCCCAACTGTGTCTTTAATAGCATTCACACCAGCCGTATTCCCCCAATTAAGTCTTCCTGTGCTTTCATAGCTCCATGAAAAGCAGCCTGAATGGCCTGGCCGCTGTGGCTTGAGTGTTGATCCATGAACCAAGGGGTCTCAGGTTCAATTCCCGGAGGCTCTATCCCCAGTAGGAAGCGTGCAGGAGGCAGCCACCGATGAATTTCTCCCATCGATGTTTCTCTCTCTTTCCTGCCCCTTCCTCTGTTTCTAAAAAAAAAAAAAAAAATTCAATAAAAACATATTTTTTAAAAACATTGGCCTAAATGAGTATAAAACAGGCTGGAATCTATAAAGCAAACCTCACCCCCGCTGGCTAAGCTAGTCTTTTCCAGACTAACTGGTTGCCACTACGATGATGCCTTGAACTCACCGCTCTTTCTGCTCGCCTCATTTCCGTAGGTACCTGCTGACACCCCTGATGGCCACGGCCATTCCAAAGAAGCCTGCTGCCACTCCAGATGATATGCCGACTGCTGGGCCGACTAATGCGCCAACTGCCACCAAGCCCACTGACAGGACCGCTTCTTTGACCTGCAGCACAAGAGACGGGCGTCACACTCCACGTCAGGGGCCTGGCCACAGATACACCCACCAAGAATCTTCACTCAGGAGAGACATGAGCCCCTCCAACGGAACCACAGAAGGAGCGGGTGTTTGCAGGGCAACAGGCCACCAGGAGAGCGGAGAAGAGGCGGGGAGAGAACGGGTGGGAGAAGGAGCTGTGGGTGTGAGGGAGACAGCGGCCCTGTAGGTGCTGAAAGGCTCAGAAAGCCGCAGGGGGTGCCGTGGGAAGGACACAGGCAGTGCCCGGACGGTCTAGGTTAGGGCTGGCCACTGGGAGCCTGGAAGCAAGTGCAGAGTTGGGGAAACCCCCTGTGAGCTCTCACGACCCAGGGCTGGGCTGGGATGGTTCTGGGCGGCCCAGGAGCTGAGCCCGGCCCAGGCACAGCATGGGCGCTGGTGGAGGAGCTCTGATCCCATGTCATGACTGGGCAGTGGCTCATGGAGCGAGATCACCTGCTTCTGTGCTGACAGGGGAGGG